GCTGCTGGGTTGTGCTGTTACACACGGCATATGGTCTTCTGTTTTGAGGCTTATTGGGGTGGATTGAGTTACGGCAGGTAGTGTAAGTAATGAACTTTTGGCTTGGGAGGGTTTGTGTATAAAAAAGGGGGAGACATTTATTTCTTGCACCACTTACTATTTTTTAGATGATTTCGAAAGAAATAAATGGTAGACCTTTTGAGGGGGTAGAGATTAATCTTGGTAACATTAGAGATAAATGGATTCACACTTTTGGATTTATTTTACTGGGTCATGATATTAAAAACCTAGATGATATAGGTGTGATCATTGACCAATTGATAGATTTGTAACTATTTTGCATATGGGTCGTACCTTCTTCGTACCTTGTGCATAATAATAATTCACTTTTATTTAAAAAAAAATATATCAAAATGCTTTTTTCCCAGTGTAGTACTGTGACTTACCAAACAACACAGTTGCCACAAACCAGTGCAATACAAGCATTCCATCCTACAGAAACACGTGAAAATGCATGAATTTACTTATATTATGAAAGCTGAAAAAAAAGCCAAATGCCACAGCATATTTCATCTGAGCAACAGTTGAAAACTGCATGAGATTAACTAATATTGTAATATTGGTGCAGATCCTTTGAACGAAAAACACTTAGAAATTATCCTTTCTGATTGGCACAAGTTACTGATAGTTCCAATGCCAATGTGTTTTAACGGATAACCAAAACATTTAGAAAACCTTTACCAGATGTAATAAACTGATCCCTTGGTCCTACAGCAAATAATGTGCTAAATGAATTCTTCATTGCAATTGAAACTAACAAGCTTTAATCATCATATGTTGATGGCCTCCAATATGCTAAGCAGTAAAAATAAAGTCATCCTTTTGATCCCAACAGAGTGACCAAAAAGTGAAGTTTGAACCTCCTGCTCATATCCAAACATAGCGACCAAATGGATGCTCAAACTTCACTTTTACCTTCTTTTCGGGTTGGGAAGGAATATGAAGATATCTTACAGAAACTGGGTAGCAGAATCATTTTAAAAGATCCCAGAAACTATGAGCCACAGAAAGTCCATATCATTACTTACAATCTCAAGAACCAATAAGATTGCAATTTCTTAATTTAACAAATCATGGTATAGAGCTTACCAAGGACAGCACATGGGAAGTTAAAGGCTGTAATTACACCAACTATCCCCAGGGGATTCCACATCTGTCCACAGAATATGGAAGCAAAATGTTAGTTCCAAAGATAGAAGATAAGTTGTGATCTTAGTACAAAAGTATAAACATGTAACACACCTCTAACATCATATGATTTGGACCTGTAGACAAAGAATTACAAACATAATTACTTCATAATTAACCTTAATAGGAATTTGGAGGGGGTA